CTTTCTTTCCCTGTTGTAGGCTTATGAAATGAAAATGAGGAGGTCTGTCAATCCCTCTGTAGCCTTTTTACCCACCTCGCTGCATAGTCTGGATAAAGTCTTGCATGGTGGAATACCTTGTGGATCCCTCACAGAGGTAACTTTTTAATGTATTTTAATGCAGTTGCACACCACACCTAAAAATCACAAGTCACTGGTTGGCCTGTCTTGTATCAGACCATTTAAACACACAATGAACAAACAAATTTGCATGAGAAGCACTTTTCGGGGTATTTCTTCTGCAGCCTGTCAAGTAAGTAAGAAAATGGAAACAAATAGGTGATTTGGTGACTCTATTTTCCTATGAAAAAGATGCTAAATTTTCCCAGGAAGACTGAGAGAATTGTTTGGATTTTATGGTGAGAAGGGTACAGTGTGGTTTAGTGGTCAGAACATGAGGTGCTGAGTCAGAAGCCCATCTGTTTAGTACCTTACTGATTTACTAAGTCTTCAGGTGTTGGGAAGGAGAAATGAGCAATTAAAACAAAAATGTGAAGGATACAGGAGTGGAAATTATAGATTTTTATGTATAAATTTAACTGATCTTTACAATAAATACGTAATGAGTAATTTTTTGAAAAGATGTTGCAATTAAGGCTTGTATCATATGTGTATCTATTATATAACACTACAAGTAGCATATTTACAGCTATTACTGTCGCTGCCTTTGAATGCAGTGCTACTTTTTTTTTTTTTTTTTTTTTTTTGCTTGGCATTGTCCTTTAAGAATAAAGAGGTGTTTCATCTTTTAGTACTTGAAAGCTGTATGGCCTTGCTTGTACAGTTTCTATAATCCAGAAATGCAGAATTTATTTAAATGCTTGTAGGGGACATTGAGTTTTATAAAACAGGACCTGGTCTCTGGCTTAGGAAGTTTCTCAGCCACAGATGAAGGTAGAGAAATGTATTTTTTGGAGGAAGTATCTATGTATGCCCTGTTCTTACTGTGTTTTCTAGCTATTTGTTGTAGGCCTTTGTTAGAGACAGAATCCGGAGCTGGGTGGACATTGTTACTCTGCAGCGTGGTCATACTTGCCTTCTCAGAGTGGAGTTCTGAATAGACATGTCTCCTATGCTCTAAACTCAAATAGATTGAAATACCTTTTCCTTGAACACTTTGATAGTTTCTCTAAAGTGGTTTTCTTTGTCAAATTTCAACTTGGAAATTGCTGTGGCAGAGGAGTAGAAGTGAAAAGATATAAAAAATACATTCTTTTTTCCATAATCAGAGTAGGTTGCTTTTGATTACGGAGTGAAATTGCCTACAAAATCTAATGGTGACTTCAAAAATGCTAGAATTTAAGCAATGCTGAGTTTAAACTATGACAGTTGGTGCCAGAAGTTACAAGGTTGGTTTTTTTTTTTTTTTTTTGTTTTGTTTTTTTTTTAAAAAAAAGTATTTTGTTTTTCTCTTAGGTACTAGCTTTGTAAATTGATTAAGGTACATGTTAGGGGTTTCTCTGCAAGTGAGAGGCAGGGAGCAATTCACTGCACAGACTCTGGTTTCTGTCATTTAAAATCTGATTCTGGAGTAAAAGCATTTTTGTGAAAGTCATGAGATCAGAATTAGTTTCAAAGCTGGCAGCACTGCAAGTATTTTTCAACGTGATTGTTAGATGAAATTGCATTAGGAAGCTATCAAATGTCAGTTGGTGCTGCTGTGATGCTTTGCAGTAGCTTGTGAACATTTCACAGGTTGTGTTTTGCTTGGACTCATGATTTTGGAGCTTCTGATTTGCACTTCTATAACTTCCTGGAGCATAGCTGCCCAGCAGATTATCCTCTGGTATTTTTGTTGTTTGGCAGATGTTCCATGTCTGAGAGAAGTTCTCTCCAAAAGTGTGTTGTGTGCAGCACTTAATTCCTGACTGATGTGGCTTAATCTTGCCTTCCTTTTACTTTACCCAGCAGTGAGGGTGGCTGGGAACTTTAAAACTTGGAATTTGAATGGTTGAGCCACAGAGTCGAGTTCTGGTGGTTTCTTCTAAGCCAAACCTACTCACTTTTTGAGTGCCAGAGGGATTTGATTTGCATTTCACTGTCTCGGATCACTTTTTCCCAAACCTCTTGTAGATTTTGAGTTGGAAATTAAATCATAACTGAAATTTTGTGGTTAGGCGTCAGAACTTGTTGCCAACTCCTCTGAGAGAAAATTTAAGTAATGACTTTATGAATACTGAGGGTTTGATTCCTGGATAGCTGAAGGAGAATTAGCTCCTTGTGACTTTATCCAAGCCCTTCATGAGTGCCAGGGAAAATAATATATAACCTATTGAAAAACAAAGTGTATTTTATTAGACAGAGGTAAATAAGCTGTTGTATTCTTCACATTTCTGCCTGGGTGTATTTTTGGTTTTCAAAATAAATTTAGAGTGTAGCAAACTGAGCAAGTTTTTTGCAGTCATTCACTTTAAGTTAAACCAGAGGCAGCTTAGGTGTGTTTGTGGTGTTTTGTTTTCTTTTTTTTAAGAATGAAGATTGTATTGATCAAAATGCTTGCTGAATTGATGGTAACCGTAATAAAATGTGATATCTGTATGTAATTGTTTATTGTGGATTATTTTAAATCCCACACTAATGCACTTAAAAAGAATGATGATAAAAGATGAATTGTTTGGGGGAAATTCTCTGTTGCTCCACTGGATTGCTTTCTCATACTACCTATTACTGCTGTGCTCCCTGTCTTCCTTTGATCTGATGCACATATTCTCAGACGTGCTTACAGCATCTCTGCTGCGTTAATGAGCAGTGAAATAAATGTTGATTCTGAGGCACCTCCCGGGCAGGCCTCGAACTACAACCTGTCTGAGGTTTCCTCACAGCTGTCCAGATATTTTAATTCAGCACCTGGATTGATGCCCTTCTCTCATTCATTTCAAATCTTGTTAACTGGAAGCAGCTGGTGAGACTCCTTGGCTATTACAATCTGAGAAATGTGTATGGTTTCTTCAAATCTTATACACATTTTGGGGTCACGTGAAAATGTGGCAAATACTGTGGATATGGTATCTTGTAATTTAAATCCGGTGGATGGATGACGGATAATTGCTTAAGTACAGCTCATTCCTGGTCTTTAATTCACTGAATGCAGTATGTGTTTCTAAACAAATGCTAATGCTTCTCTTGTGTTGAAGTTTGAAGTGGATTGACTGATATAACTTGGTTTTCAAGCCTTGTTTCAGTTGAAAGCGATGCAAGAGATTTTAATTAAGAACAAAAACTTAGTTCCTATTCAACTGTGCAGGTGCAGTCACTGGGGCACTTAAAATCTTTCTGATGTGTGGTTCATAGTGCACGTTCAGACTACTTGGGATACAAGCTATTGTCTTTGTGATTTCCAGGTTAATCTTGATTTTAACAGAGGTAATCATAACAGCAAGTTGTACTTTGCATCTGTGGATTCAATGGCTTTTGACTGACTTAGAGCTGTAAGGGTAATTTGATGTCAAGTGAATGTCAGCTGTGTATCTTTTAATCGTGCTCTATTATAGAGGAATAGCACACAAGAGGAGGTAGAAGGTAACAGGGGATGGCTCTGGGGAAGAGCTTGTAAGAAGAGGGGGAGAAGACTTCAAATATGGGAGAACAAAGTAGGGAAAGAAGGATGGGAAAGTACAAACAGAATGCTGCATGTGAAGAGTTATTCTTCAGTGATGATGATTTTGACTGCAAGGCACAGATCCAAGGCTAACTGCAAGTTGCTCTTTGTGGGCTGCATTTTATCTTTCTTGTGACTGTTGTCTTTGATACCTAGATGAACAGAAGAAGAGGCATTCTTGCTGATAGGCCTTTTTAAAAATTAAAATTAGGGTGAAATGGATGTGACATCTCTTGGTTATGGTGTTACCAATCTTTTTTCTTCTAGTTAACAAGCCCACCGGGTTGTGGCAAAACTCAGTTTTGTATTACAATGAGTGTTCTGGCTACGCTGCCTGTAAGCATGGGAGGACTAGATGGGGCTGTTATATACATTGACACAGAGTCTGCATTCAGTGCTGAAAGGTAAGATGCAAAACTGTAAAATACACACTTTGAACTTCTCTAGCACTTTTTATCTTGGAACCTTCATTTATTTTCTGAGCATTTATAAAATAAATACTGTGGCTATGAAGCATTCATCTGATATATGCAGTTACTCTGTAACTTATGAAATTGTTTGAATAGGATGGTTTGCTTACCTTCCTGATCTGCAAGGTGTTCCAGGTTCCCGCTGTGCAACAAGCTGGATAGCACTCTTTCTAATTTAAAAATGGTCTTAGCAGTCCCAAACTGAAACATTTTGCAGTTTAGTTTGTGAAATTAGCAAGATTTTGAAGGTGTAAAGGCCCAGCATTTTGAGCAGCAATAATTTGTATGTTGTCTGTAATTTATGTATTTTTCTATTGCAAAAAAGCTGTAACATTGTAGGTGGTGTCTGTTGTTCAGCTTTGTCAGAACATGGGCACTGGAGCAGTAGATGGAATGGCCATAGTGATTCTAGAAATCAAAATTGTTTTCATCAGTTTTGTAGTAGTTCAAGTCACCTCTTCCTACCTAGCTATTAACTGGAAATGCACCATACTTCTGTAGAAAGTCTGAAAATGCTCACTCTTCTAGCTATGCCTGTTGTCTGTGGGTAAAAACACAGGATTCAAACTCCTGTGAACTAAAGCTGAGAGCAGCGATGGATTTTTCTATCCTGTGAATCTCTGCTCTGGTAGCAGGGAATGTGTTCTGTGCAGTTTTTAGTTTCATTGTGACAAATAGGATTCATCTTTTAAAGATCTTTGCACCTACATGGTACTGTGTAGATAATACTGTGATCACAGCAAAATTTGTGTGTCACTCAAAGGCAATTCGTGTAATATTGTTTTCTTATATGTATGCCTATTAGAAACTGTAACAAAGTTTCATTTCTTACGGACCACTGAATGACTTTCAAATTGAATGATTGTTACCCAAAAGGTTTACATAATTAACTGTGCAAGCATAAGGAAAAGATTCCGTCCTTGGAAGTTTAGGACAAGTTTATATATATATTTATATAAGTAATGTATTGAATGAGTTTCAAGTTACACTGAAAGTGCTTGTTCAGAACAGATATATTAACATTCAAGCCTAATTGTTTTAAAACTCAAAAAATTATTTAAGAGGTTGGTGTTTTTTTTTTCCTGAAGTGGCTTTTATTGAAAGAGGCTTAAATAAAAAGATGTCTGTAGACATAACTTTCTGGTTATCCGCTAGGTGTCATTCTTCTCAAGCATGTGGGCTGCAGAGTAAGGCAGCTTAAATTACAACTAAGTATTTTTTTGTTTCTGTTCTCAAATCTTCATATAGTTGGAAGGGGAAATGTGCTCTGGATTGTAACTATCAGTGTCTAAAATCTTGGATTCATCTGTAAGGACCTAGATAAAATTGCCTTGTGTTCACAGGTGTGGAACTTCTATTAACTAATAGAAAATTAGCAGACATGATAAAATGTGTGCTTTTTGTGACTTTGATTTTATGTATACAAGTTGACTGAAAATGTGGACCTCTCATCTCAACTTCTTGTGTAGACTCTGTGCAGGGACTTATTATGTCTTTCCTAAATGTACCCTTGACTTTAGCATCATTTGGAGGAGAATCTAAGTGTTCTGTTTTCCAGTATTTCAGTCTGCTGCTCAAGTAAACTTCCCCTTTGAAAAAGATTTCCCATACTACATGGTATCTACTTATCTTTCAGAGCTTTCGTTTGTTTACTTTGTGAAAGCTTGATGTCTCATTACCTGCACATGATTTTTTTTTTTTTTTTTTTTTAGTGTTATGCCTTTTGTATCTTTGATAGGTTGATAGAGATAGCAGGAAACAGATTCCCTACTTATTTTGACTCCGATGAAAAGCTATTTTGCATGACCCGTAGCATTCATCTGTATCGAGAGCTGACCTGTGACAGTGTACTGAAGAGGTATCCTTTTCTACATCTTCAAGGGAATGGTGGGAATGGATTTTGGCTGGGTTGTCTATGATAATATATCAAAGTTCTATGAAGAGTAATTCATTACTTGGAAGCTTTTATGTTGGTAACAGTGTGGTCCCCAAAAAGGAAAATTGCTACTAAAAGACTGGCATTGCTTTTCTCATTTCGTAGTGCTCCACTAATCTGCTTGATGTTTTACAGTTTCTGAGAGAATTTCTATAGAATTTGAAGATCATAAGCTTTTAAAGAGGAATGTTAGCCTGACAGATCTGGTCTTGGTTTGTGGAGATACCGTAGTGTTAAGAGTTATGTTTGCTGTGAAACAGAAAGGAGGTATTGGTCTTTCAGAGTGCTGCTTAGTTTCAGAAAGACCTGGATCACTCCAGCAGTTGAAGGAAGGAGTTGCTTAGAAGTCATCATCCTGAAGGCAATGTTGTATTGTTGTCTTGTTAATTTATGTTGGTTTTTGAGCACATACTGTAATGAAAATGAAAGTTGAGCATCAGAATCTTCTTGTATATTTTGTTAGAGGGAGTATTGTAAGAATAGTTTCTTCTAGTACGACTTTATCACAGAGGAACTATTAGCATATTACCAACATATTAAGTTTGACTTACCATCTTTGGCATATAGAAGCAGATCTGACTTTCTGCATATGTAGGCAGCAGTTATTTTGTTATTGGCAGTGGGATGCTGCTACTGTATGCAAAAGGCTCTGTCTCAGTTCTCAACTTGCTGTCTGTGCCATTCAGAGTTTAGGGAGCAGAGTGTTGCTAAGCAGAGTGTCTTCTGAATCTCTCTTGGAGGGGCTTGCCCTGGGTTATGTGGCTGTTGGAGCCTGAGATTCCTTTCTAGACCTCTTCAATGTTTGCAGATGTTAGTGGGGAGATGAGTTATGAGGGAGAAAGAACGGTTGACTTAAGATTATTAAAGAAAACCTTGCTTTTAAAATAATTCCAGGATTATTAAACAGTTATATTGTATAAATAATGTTATTGATGGCTTAATTTTTTTTATTTATTTTTTTTTTTTTTAGAATTAAGTCTTTAGAAGAAGAAATTATTTCAAAGAAGATTAAACTCATAATAATTGACTCTGTAGCTTCAGTTGTCAGAAAGGAATTTGACACAAAACTCCAAGGCAATCTGGCAGAGAGAAGTAACTTTTTGGCTAGAGGAGCATCACTGTTGAAGTATTTGGCAGAGGAGTTCTCAATACCAGTAAGTTCTTCCTTTTTAAGTTTCTGCTTTATGGTTTCAAATAATAAAATGCAGGAAGAATGGAAATGACAAGATGGTGAAAGATAGGTAAAGCTCCTACTACAAATCTTCAGGCAGGTATCTGCTGAAAAACAGTACTGGAACAGGAAATAACTTGGTGTTGCTCGTATTGCCTTTTTCTCAATATTGACTTTAGTCTTCAAAATAGGCTTTACTGATTGTCTTTCCAGCTGTTGTTTTTCAGTGCTTTGTTGCTCAGTTTTCTTTTTAAATATCATGTTTTATTCTATTGGTATTAAATATCATTTACCCTGATGGTTCCCATCCTTTGCTTCTTCTACTGAAGCTTATGGAATCTTAAAAGTCCTGATACCCTGAAGTTTTGCAACTGATAATGCATGCCAGCTGATGTGGGAAGGAAAGTAACAAGTCAACAAATCTGTGTAGATTTGCCCATAAACTGCTATGGAAGGATTTACTGTATCACAGACACACAGTGAGAGGACTGATTAAATCATTAAAGAGCACATTAGAAGATGCAAGCTCTATAAATGTAGGTGTCTTTTTGGGGCTGAGGTTTTTCTCTGTTGATGTGACCTGTGGGTAATCAGAAGCAGCAGATGAAATGTGATTGAGATTCAGCTGTAGGAAATATCTCCTAGCATAAGTAAACTTCTTGTCAGAGAGAAAGTGTTGAGATCCTCATTTAAACTGGTGAGGTCTCTTCCTTTTGCTGCTTTTGAGAAATATACATGTCAGAGTTGTGGAACTGACTTGGCTGAAGATGAATGGATTTCCTTCTGCCATGTTCTCTTTTTGTGGAGAGAATTAAACCCTGCTTAAGTTCCTTTAAGTTCTGATACAAAAGATAGTGTCCTAGTTAGAACAACTAATGAATATACTGCTTACAAAGCCAGGGAAGATGTGCCACATTAAGAGTGTGCACTTCTGTATTTTGGGAAATAAGATGCAATCCTATGAAAAAGGAGATGGGTTTTATGGGTAGATACTGTTTTTGTCTAATTTTTTCTTTTGGAAACCCCTGTCCTCCTCACCTGCCTACCTCAGTTAAGATGGTAAAGCTGAGCTGGATTACAGTCTCTTGATGCTTCAGGCTGCTGCTCTGCTTACATTCAAACAGTGTTAATATTTACAAAGGTCTTAGAATTGGACAACAGTAAGTAGTGTAAGGCTGATTTTTATTTCATCCTACATAGAGAGGAAATGAAGGTTGAACATTTAAAGGTTTCAGTTACGTTAAATCTTGTGTGTTTGCTTCAGGACACTTGTAATGACTGGTGTGCTGGTTCTCTTTTTGTTTCCCATTGTGAATGCTCTGGTAAGGAGTCTGGAAATCTTGGCCAAGAATACGTGCTTCTGACCACGACTATCCTGTATTGCTGTATGAGATGTTTTACCTTTTGAGTAAAATCTTTAAAGTTCTATGTACTGTTCTAGGAAGGCCTTGGCTCAAGATGGAGGTTACCACAAATGCAGGTCCCTAGGCAGTGCTGAGTATGTGAAAGATGTGAAATGCAGCAACAGTGTTATGTATCTACAAGTGTTTGTACATATGTAGAAGTAAGTCTATCTTGTGCTAACCTCTGCTATTTCAGATCAGGGAGTATCTGAGGTTTTTACTGTAAACAGCTGTGGTGGAAATGTTCTCAGATGTTCTTCCATATCAGGAGGGTTATAGATGTAAACTTGAGACTAAAAACATTAGGAAGGGTTGTAAATGATTTGGATCATTAATAAATTGGACATGTGAAATATGTGACACTTTATGGCGGTGCTAGTACACCTAAATATTTAGTTGAATGGCAAATAGTTGTCTGAATTCAAGGCTCTGAAAAAGATGTGGAGGTAATAAATGATAGGACTTGAGGTCAATTCTTTAGATTGGTGAAAAATTGAGTAGGTGAGCCAGGGAATCTGAAATGATGACAAATCAGGGTCCATAGACTAGCCTGGAAAAAATTGGGGATTAGGAGAGAGGAATTTCAGTAACGAAGATGTAAGAATCTTTGTTTAGCTTGGCTAAGTGTTAAGGGTTTGTTTTCTGTAGTTAATATGTACTTGAGAAAATGTATTTGATAGAAAAAACCTTATCAGCTGACAAAGGTATTCTACAGTTCTGTGGTTGGAAGCTGAATCAAGCAAGTTCAGAGTTCAAGAAAGGGATGTGTTCTTCATAAAATAATTAATCACTGTAATATGTTACTAAACTGAAATAGGTTCTTGTCACCAAGTATTTTTAAGTGGATTTCTCCCTTCCCCATTTCCTAAAAAAGAAATCGATTTAGAAAGGCTTTGATTTGGGAAACCCTGTACTACCATGTTATGCTGGAATTCAAATGAATTTTATGTAGTTCTTAATGTTGTAAATGCTCTAGCTAATAATGATTATGTACCCATGTTGGGGATGTGCTGTGTTTCATTAGCAAAAGTCATGGGCATTCATAGGTTTTACTGAATTCAAAGGGACCTGTTTCATACCCAGGTAGCTTTAAGTGTTATGAAGTATTCGGGGGGGGGAAATAAAAACCAAAACATATCTTACTGCCTCAAAACTGATGGTCATCATTCAGTAATTTGTCTGCACTTCTGTTTTTGATTTTTGAAATAGGAGTTTGGTTGTGAGCATGCTGAGGAAGGTTATTGTTACTAGTTGCTCCAAAAGCAGACTGTATTGTTGAGCAACATATAGGCTGCCACTGGGAAGTAATACTTCCCAAGTCCACTTGAAAATTTTAAATAATCTGTAGCAAATGAAATTCTAATTCACTTCAGAAAGTGAGGAAAAAATATTAAACATGTTAATTGAAAGGCTTTAGCACTGAACTAAACAAAATGAGAGTATTGTTGAGTGTGAATTTTTGCTTAGTGAGATTTCTTTTTTAATGCATAGACAGCATAAATTAGCTCTTGAGAAATGAAATATGATGCCCTGTTTCCTGTTTTCATTCCTACTTCTTCTGAACATTGTAGTAAATTTGGTTCCATTCTAGGTGCTTTAAGTGGTGCCAGGTTGAGAGGCAGCATGCAAGCAAGGTTTTGAGGGCTGCTGGGCTATTGACAGCCTGCCAGGAAGCTGTGCTGATGACTGAACAGTCACTGAGTCTATTCCTGTGGGGGTTTATGTAGTGGTGTCCCTTTCCATCCTTCCCTGCACATTGCAGTGACTGAGAACTGTTCAGCCTGGGTTGGTTGAAACAAGTCAGTCAGCCCAAAAGTGATTGCTGGAAATGAAGGAAGACAGTTTGACTGTAAATCAAATAAAAAGCCCCTCTATTTTGAAATCTAGCGAAGATGTAAACGTATGAGAAAGACTTTTGTTTTAGAGTGTTGTGTATTTGAAGCATTTAGATCTGAATGTTTTCTGTGACAAAAATTCTGGATTGATGCTGTCTGCCAGATGGCGTGTTTAAGCAGCAATCATCAGTCCTATATTTCTAGTTGTTTCCCAAAATCCTTAGCCTTCCTAAAAGGAATAGGAAGCAAAATGTGTTCTGGGTATTACTTCTTTTTCTTCCATATTCATAGGAAAATATTTATTCAGGAAAAAATAGATCAGTGTTCATGCTGTTTGGAGAAAAAAAAAAAAATGGATCCTCCATCTCAGTGAAGAGCTAAAACTGAATAACAGTATGACTAGAATTGCTCCTGAGTTTTAGCTGCTCAGCTCATAAAAGTTATTATAGAATCTGGTCGTCCTGTTGTTAGTAGATGACAAAAATGTGTGAAGCTGACTAGACATCTCTGTGGAAAAGCACTCCAAAAGCGACACTTGCAAAACCAAACTGCCTTAAGTATTCTTTTAAATGTCAAATTGAGACCAGAGATTAAACTTGTTTTGCAAATCCCTAAGGCTGATCAAAAATTACTGCACTCTCTGTACTTTATTCTTTTGTCTGGGTTTTGTCCTTAGATCCACAAAGAGAAACTGTTATTGTGATAAACATAGTGGCTATCATTACCAGTAGCAAATGTATAATGGCATTTATCTTTATGCTGTTTTGAAGAATATGAAATAGCTTAAGAGGAACAGCTTTCTCTTCTCATTTGGAATTTTACAGTGCAAATGGAAGGCGAACTTCGATTAATCTGTGATGGCTTTTAATTGCTGTGTGAAGTTAACAGTAATGAAGGCCTTTATTTCCACAAGTAGTACTTGGTTCCTTTAGATGCAGTGTGCTCCATCTGAAAACAATGAAATTATCACTTTATCAGTATTAATAGTGGCAGCAATTAAAGCTGGCAGTTTCTTTTGATATTCTCAATTCTCGCACTTCTCATTTCAATACTTCCTGCTCAATCATGTATTTTGTCAACTTTAGACACAAGGTTTTCATTTGGTATGGAAAGCTGAATGTTCTGTATGCTTGGTTTTAGCCTGTGAGTTTTTCTTCTCAAAATCAATGCACTGAAATGCACAAACTACTTGACTTCTGCAATGCCTTTTCTGCTGTCTGCTGTTAAGTGTGTTTAAGTGTATCAACTGAGCTTCCTGCAGTAAGGTTTCTCAAGATTTGAAGTGCTTCTGTTGTCAAAAAGAAGTGATGTTGGAGCTGTTAATTTTCATTCTTTATAAGCAGGTATTTCCATTGGGCGCCATCCTTGGTTCTTCTTTGCTTTGGCTGCTTGTATCTCTGCACCTTTATCTCTGTTGTGATAATTGAAACTACTGGTTCATGGAGAGCTAAAGGGATTCCAGAAGGGAAGGTTTGTGGAGAGAAGTTGTTTACCAGTTCAAGCAAGAAAAATTGTATTAATGAAATTAATGAACGTTGAGGAAAAATTTATAGAATTAGTTTTCATGTTGTTGTATGTAACAGTGCTGTATGCAGATGTTTCCAAAGCTGTGGAGATGCATTAGATTTCTAGATTCATTTGTCTGCATCTGGACCATAAGCTGCTGAATTGCAGACTTTGTATTTCTACTTAGCTGTGAAGTGTTCTTTGCATTACGCTGTCAGGACTATGGGAATGTTAATTGG